ATAGATAAATATATAATTTTTTAATCATTAAATAAATATTTATTTTGATTTAAAAATATTGCTTGAAAATTTTAAATTATTTAAATTTTAATAATATTTTTAAGTATTGTATATTTACTTTATTTTATTTTCTAAACTTATGATTTATAAATATCCACACATTATCTCTAATTTATTTTTATTATTCAATATTATTAGTTTTTGATTTTGTATATTAGACTTGAGTTACGTGGACTTACCCATATTATGACTTTTCTTATCACAATATAAAAGACTTTCTTATCTCAAATTTAAATTAGTTTTACCCTTCTTTTCTATTATAAAAAATTTGAATTTATATTTTTTCTCTATTTAGTCTTTATTTTTGATATTATATTATTCAATTCCTAATATTATTACATTGTCATGTGAATTTTTATTAGCTTGCTTGAATTTAATATATATTTCTGTCACATCATTCTAATATAATATAGATAAAAATTAAATAACTTTCTCATCTCAAATTCATATATTTTTTTTATCATTCTATTTTTTAAATTGGACCGCATGTTTAAAAATTTATGTTATGCTTTCAAACTTAAATTAACTACACTCAATTCAAATATTAATTATATAAAAATATTTTCTTAATTGTTTGAACCCATTATATCTAAATAATATAGTAATATTTATGTATAAAATATTTGTTTGCTCGATTTATCAATATTAATATGACTTTATTATTCTTGTTATTAAAATATTTTTTACTGATTCTTTAATTTTTTTTTCTTGCCTTATAAATAATTTGTATACTTTATATAAGATCTTATTTTGCTGCTTGAATTTTTAAAATTTTTAAACTCAATAAATCTTTAATATCTTAAATAAATTCTAGTTTTATTTTATCTTTTAACTTACTCCAAAATATACATAGTCATAGGTTATCTCAATTTACGTATCTCTATATTTTTTATTTTTTCTATTATATTTATTTAATTAATTTTTTACCTCTATATTTCTAGCTAATATAGAAGAAAATCTATGAGTGGATCAATATATAGATATAAATATAAATATATAGATTAGATTTGTCTAAGATCTATTTTGATTATGTATAGGATTCATTAAACTACTTCCATTAATTATGTTTCCATATATAATTTCTAATTATTAAAGTTGTCATAAAAATTGTCAAGTGGCTTCATTTTAGCTTGCCACTTGGCTTAACCACAATGTATACTACTCTCCTTTTAATATAACTAGTATCAGTACCCACGCGATGCACGGACAAATTATTTCAAATTGCGATGTAGGTTGTTTGAATCATGTACAAATAACCTTAAAATATAAACCTCTCAGATAAAAATTATATAACATGAGAATTTAATTATGAAACATGATATGATATTATTGTTCAAATCACGTAGTGAACAACCAATCTTTTTAATATATATTTGTAGCAACCTAACCCTTGATTTTGGTACTTGTATTTCGTTCCGCTGTCGATATTAAAGAATACTAAATATGCCATATTGTGATCTATCTTGTTCGAGCACAATATATCATATTATCTTAACAAAATTCTTATTATAACTCTATTTTTATCTAGAAGTCAAATATATCTTATTCATCACATCACTTTTACATAAATTCTTTTTTTTTTGTTCTTTTCTTATAGTTATTGTATCATTTAATATTTAATATTATTATACAATCATATAATTTGTTTATTATCTTATAATTAAATTAATGTCTTACTTTTATCCTTTTAATAGTATTTAATAAAAATAAATATTTTTTTCTTGAAATTCGGTATATTTTTATGCTTTTATCCTCTTATTCATAATATTTTAATCATTTAAATTTATCAATAATATTTTTAAATATAATTTAATTATTTTATTTTATCTATTTTTAAATTAATTTAAAGTATAAGTATCCTCACATTACCTCTATTTTTTTTATGTACATTCTCTTCCTACTACAAATGTTAATTAGTTTTTATATTAATGTTTTACCTAGAGCCAAAATAATGTCATATTTTGTTTTAAATTGTAACTTTTAATTAGTTTAAAATATTAATACATAAGTTATTTGATTATCATGTTCCAAATGTATTGAGTTAACTTATAATTAATTTTGTATTAGATGCAGTTAAATTTTCTTCCTTTTTTAGCTATAAGATACAATTTAATTTTTAATTTTCATTAGTAAGATTACCAATATTAGAAATTTATGTTGTATTTTTAAAATTTTATTTAATCATAGAAAAAAATTCTTAATTGTTTGAACACAATATTTCTAAATATTGTAGTAATATTTTTACTATCATTTTAGTTCTTTACATAATATTTTAAAAAACAAAAAAATAATCTCATCTCAAATTCAAATAATTCTTATCATTCTATTTTCTAAAATGGACCGCATTTTTAAAAAATTATGCTATGTATTCAAACTCAAACTAACTGCACTCGATTCAGATATTAATCATAGAAAAATATTTTCGTAATTGTTTAACATATCTAAATATTATAATAGTATTTTCACTATCATTTTATTTCTTTACATAAATTTTCTTTCTTTTTTAGTTTTAAGATACAAATTTAATTTTTGTAAAATTACCTATATTAGAAATTTATTTTGTAATTTAAAATTTTTATTTTTTATTATTGTTTTATTTTTCATAAGTAAGACTTCAATTTCCTGGTATTATCCATAATTTGAGCATTCGCATCATAGTTTTAAGAACTTTCTAATCTCAAATTCAAATAGCCTTTTCTTTTAATTTCTAATAGTAAATTTCAAATAATTAACATAATTTTGCTATTTTTTAATCTAATATATAGTCTTATTATATTTTATGTGGCTTTTCATTAACTTGTAAATTTATTTAATATCATTATCAACTACTTTTCTTTAATAACATAAGATAAATATATAATTTTTTTAATTATGAAATAAATATTTGTTTTGTTTTAAAAACATTGCTCGAAAATTTTAAATTATTTAAAATTTAATAATATTTTTAAGTATTGTATATTTATTTTATTTTATTTTCTAAACTTATGATTTATAAATGTCCTTACATTATCTCTAATTTATTTTTATTGTTTAATTTTTTTAGTTTTTGACTTTAACTATTAGACTTGAGTTAAATGGACTTATATTATGACTTTTCTTAGTATAATATAAAAAACTTTCTCATCTGAAATTTAAATAAGTTTGACCCTTTTTCCTATGATAAAAAATCTGAATTTTTATTTTTTCTTTATTTATTCATTATTTTTGATTTTATATTATTCAATACCTAATATTATTACATTGTCATATGAATTTTTATTAGCCTGTTTGAATTTAGTATTTATTTTTGCCACACTCATTCTAAATATAATATAGATAAAAAATTAAAAACTTTCTCATCTCAAATTCAAATAATCTTTATCATTCTATTTTTTTAATTGGACCATATTTTTAAAAAATTATGTTATGCTTTCAAATTTAAACTAACTGAACTTAATTCAAATATAATCATAGAAAAATATTTTTCTTAATTGTTCGAACACATTATATTTAAATGTTGTAGTAATATTTACGTATAAAATATTCGTTTGCACGATTTATCAGTATTAATATGAATTTGTTATTCCTGTTATTAAAATATCTTTTATTGATTATTTAATTTTTCTCTTACCTTATAAATAATTTGTATACTTTATGTAAGATCTTATTTTGCGGCTTGAAATTATTTAATTTTTAAACTCAATAAATCATTAATATCTTAAGTAAATTTTAGTTTAATTCTATATTTTAACTTACTCCAAAGTATACTCAATTTACGTCTTTATATATTTTTATTTTTTTATTATAGTTTTTAATTAATTTTTCACCTCTATATTTCTAGCTAATATAGAAAAAAATCTATGAGTAGATCAATATATAAATATAAATATAGATATAGATACAAATACACATATAAATTTAATTATAGATATATAGATTAGATTTGTCCAAGATCTATTTAGATTATGTATAAGATTCATTAAACTACTTCCATTAATTATGTTTCTATATATAATTTCTAATTATTAATATTATCTTAAAATTGCCAAGTGGCTTCCATTTAGCTTGCCACTTGGCTTAACCACAATGCATACTACTCTCCTTTTAATATAATATAGATATAAATTGTTATACATAATAACTAAATAGGTTACAACCCTTCCCTTTATTAGAAACGATCACAAGTTGCCCTTACCGTTAGAGGTCAATCCCGTGCTTGATTATGTCTTTGTTATCACATTATTAAGCTTGTTTTTGTAAAACATAAAATTATCTTTTTGGTGAGACAAAAATCAAGAAATGAAAATAGAGAAGTTTCCGCTCACTTACAATATAAAAAAGTTTACTAGGGTGTACTAGGACTATCTAACGCTGCTATTATAGGTCATAAAACAATTAAGGCAAAAGCCCTCAATCGAAGTGATTTCTTATTCGGCTGACCCTTTTAGGGGAACTTTTTATCAGAGTGCATGAACTTGAGCAAGTTAGAAAGAACGTTGAGAATTTGATAGGGATTAGGGAAGTGGACCATTCTGCTGAAATTAAGGAAAGTTGCTAATTGAGGATGAGTTTTGATTATGTAAAACAGAAAGCGAAAGGGACAGATTAACAATCCTATTTGTTAAATGACCAATATAAATTAGCTAAGTATAGACTTCAGTTACATATTGAGATCAGTAAGTATCTAACGAGGACTAGGTGACTTTATTCAGATCCAAACATTTATAAACGAAATTAGAAAAGAAATACTTCAGATTAATACAGTTGGTAAGTGGGGCTGCTTTGCCTATTTATCAACAAGAAGAAATTTCACACATCTGAAGCAAAGATAACAAGTTTTTGGGGGAGAAAGAATGAAGTAAACATTGATTGATTGTAAAGTACAATATACACATATAGCTCTATACAACATGAGGATTAGGACTCCCTAAGCTAAATACTTTAAGCCTCCCTATATGACAACAAAATTCTGGGAAGGAAAATCTCAACCATTTAGCTGCAGTACAAACCAGCTGAACAAGCAGTTCAAATGTTCACCATTCCTCCTCATATTTTGGAGGCAACTAAACAAGATGCTCAACTTGATTCACTCGTTCTACGCATTCAATTCTAGATGTTTTACATCGAATGACGACCATCAGTCTTGTCTTTAGTTGGCCGTTCATCTTGGATTTCCTCTAAATCCTCATCATCCCCTTTTCTACCAGCTTGTTCCTTCCAATATGCTACTAGCTTCTTTAACCGAGCGACTTCCTTAGATGAAACATTTTTGCTGGGATCATTTACAATGGAACGGACTCTTGATGCATACCTGGAAACCAAATTTATACTTATGTTATACCTTGATTACAAGTCGGCTCCATCGTATGATCAAATAAGGCTTAAAAGAGAGCATTTCAATTTAAGAAAGGAAAATTATAAGAATAACAGGATCGAAAAATAAAACAATATGACCTATTTCAACGATAAAGAACATATGCACAAGTAAGAACATACGTCAAGGAGTTGTGAGTCTCATCCAAGTTTGATTCTGCTGGAGAGATGTTTACAAACATAAGAGTTTTAGCATTTCCACCTAACGAGTCGCTCATCAACATGGTTAGCTTGTGATTCCGATAAGGAATGTGTTGATTTCCTGAAGATAATGCACTTATCACATCACCAAGTGCTGACAGTGACTTGTTAATGCTTTGAGCTTCTTTTAATTGATTGCCAGCTGAGCCAGATTTCTTAACTCTTTCTGAGCCAGCAAGATCCACAAAACTTAGCTGCACACACATAGAAAAGAATAAAGCAGAAACTAAAGAAACAAAGCAAAACTTTTGGTGATTCTATATTGGTAAAGTTCCTGAACATTATACACTTATTGGTAAATAACAAGATTTAGGTATTTCGGAGGGACTGACTACCGTACTCAAATAGATACCGCACCAACAGTAAATGAAGTTAAAATACCAAGATCCAAGCTAATGTGTTGCAAATAGGGTTGTGAATAATTTGGTAAACACTGAATTACTGTACCAAAACCGAAAAAATTGGTATCTTGTATGGTATTTGGTTTAAGTTTTTAAAAAAATTGGTATTAGGTACGGTATTCAATATTTCAAAAAAGAACTGCCGAAATACCGATACCATATCGAAATATATATAACACCCTCTATTCCAATTTATGTGACATTCTTTCCTTTTTAGTCGGTTCCAAAGAGAATGACACATTTCTAAATAATATTTAGTAACAATTCAACTTTAAATTTTCTTTTTTACCCTTAATGAGATGATTTCTAGCCACACAAATTTCTGTGGTTTATCTTAGACCACAAGTTTCAAAAGTCTTCCTTTATTTCTTAAACCCTGTGCCCAGTCAAACACCTTCACATAAATTGGGACGGAGGGGGTATGTATACACATATTATTAATTATAACATAAATATAAAAATTCTAAATACTTTCCTTTATTCTCTAAGTTCAGCAATTGATTCTAAACAAGTAACAAGACATTTTCAATGCTCAAATATTCCTTTATGTGTCATTTTCTCTCATTGAGTTGATACTTGCTGATTTTGGACAAAGATTTTATCAAGAAAGATTTTTATATTTGTTTTTGAGTACTTTAATTAAGAATATTACAGTTTATGGCTCTATACACTAGTTACCGAAGTTACCGAACCGAATAAACCGAAACCGAAAGGAGAAAAATCGAAACATACCAAATTTAATTAGGTGCGGTATTGGTATAGCATTTTAAGGAACCGAATATACCAAATCGAAATGTCTAAATATCGAACCGTACCAACCGACGAACACCCTAATTGCTAACATCTTAGTAATACACATGGCTAACATCTTATTAACGTGAATTAGTGCTTACCAATACAAATAATAATATTATTATCATATGTTTGTTGTGGAATTAGGCTTTACGTGTTATAAGAATACTACAATATAAATAACAAGTTAAAAAGAACACAACAGTATTTTTTGTGCATGTGTGTATATATATAAGTTCAGTTAAAAAAGTTTAAGGCCTCTTATTAAAATTTGGTTTTAGGCCACATTTTATTGAGCCACCCATGCCAATATCATATAAGTCGTGCAAGTTCAGATTGTCGCAAGAAAGTAGAAAGTGTGATGCACGCACCTTCCCTCTGGCAATTGCCTGCGTTTGAAGATTGGTACTCTCAATAATAACTGAAACTATAAGATGAGATCTTGAACTCTGCTCATTCATCAAGGTTCCAGTCGTATGACGTTGTTCAGATCCTCTTTGGATTATTGTCTTAAGTTCCTCATACGTTGAAATAGACACCACTGTCACATTTTCCACAGAAACCATGCCCTGTTTATGCCAAATTTTGCTAATTGTTACAGCCAAAATAAAAAGATATACATAAGCTCGTTCAAGCTTGGACATAATGAAAAGAGAAGTGCAAAAGAATTATTGACTAAAGAAGTATTGATAATTTGTGAGGCTCTAAATAGCAATCACCTTTGAATCTTTTTTTATATCCAATCTCAAGCGCTTTGCATTCTTTGGCAATAAGAGGTCCACCAATGTATCCTGATACAACTCTACCATGTATGCCTGATCAAGTTCACATCAGTCATAAGTTTACAATGGTTTATAATGGGCCTTCAGGACGTACATCTATTCACTTCACAAGCACTGGATAAGGAGAGAAATCATATGAAAAGAAAAAAGGAAGGTGACAACATTGTATTACTCATAGTTTGACAGTTTTTATAATTAGATGTTCCACCGGAGAATCGGAATTTAGAAAGTTGAAGCATAATTAATGCACTAACTATATTATCTGAAGCCGGAATAAAAGCCTACCATAACCTTTAAAGCATTAGAAGAGTTTACCTTTAAAGAGAAAGAAAACTTATTACTATCTCGCTTCATAATTCTAAAGAGTTCAGATATAGCTCTTGGTGTCAGTCCTGGATTACTATCCGCTCCATAGATTGTGAATGTCTTGCCAGATCCAGTTTGTCCATATGCAAATATGCAAACATTATATCCATCAGCAGCTGACTGCACCAAATACTGCAACAACAACACGTCTAACTTAGAAGCTGCTAGGCAATATGCATATATTAGATCCTAGCAAAGTTCTATAAGAGGACAATTGACTTTTTGCTTGCCTTAGTGTCTTCGAACACATCATCTTGAGTGGAATTTCCGTCAAAGACACGATCANTTCGAACACATCATCTTGAGTGGCATTTCCGTCAAAGACACGATCGTACATGTGTTGTTTTGCTTTATCATCTTTCCATATATGTTCAATAGTAAACTCATCAACACTTCTCATTACATTTCTTTCCTTCGCTATAATTTCCTTTTCACAAAGAGGTCTTAATCTGCAGTAGACTCTGATCTTGCCTTTCATATCTGAGACATGAGTATGGTCCATAGTATTACACTTTAAAAAAATTTCAAATAAAAAATAAACAAGGACCTTCAAAATTGCAATGTCAGTAGCACAAAATAAAAAAGGCAGGTAATTATACCTTCTATTGTGTTGAAGTACTTTTTCCTTAGAACTTGTTCCTCTCGGTAAAGCGCTTCCATTTCAGCTAATTGAGCCCCTTGCATTTTCAAGATGGTGGCAGTTTGTTCATTTTTTCGATCAATGTCCTGAGTAAAGTAAGTGTCAAATAAAAAAGAAAATACAATATTCCATGCAGCATGATAAATACATTTTTTGACACAAATATTTGTAAACTCTGCCTATGAGAGCTTGTCCACATTGCTAGTTCCAAGCACATATAAAGGAGGAGGATTTTGTAAGTTCACTATCAACATAAAATTAGTTAATTTAAAATGAATCCTCACAATAATGAACCAATAGATATTGAGGATCATATAGGCGATCACAACTAGCTTGGGAAGAAGGTATAGTTATAGTTGTAAATACTTTGTACAAGATATTCACCTCTTTCATTTCTCTTAGCTCCTCGAGCTCCTTTAAATTATTCTGTAGCATTTCTAGTTCCCTGTCTTTAGCTTCAAGCCCTGACCGTGCGACAACCAAATCATGTTTGGCCTCTTCCAGTTTCCTTTGAAGTTCAGAGACTTGGAGCCTCAGCGCCTTGCATTCTTTTTCAAAATCTTTCTGAAGGTTTTCCATCTATACCCAAAATATCAGAGCAAATCAACAAAAAATCAATATAAATGCAGAATGCATGTTAAACACAAAGACATGGAATGCAACATACCTCACTTGATTTCTTCTTTTCTAGCCCTATGATTTTTTCCTCAAGTGATGTTCTTTCACTCAAAAGCTTCCTCTTTGTTTCTTCTGCAGCGCGCAACTCCATAGTACGAGCTCTCAACTCTTCCTGGATCTTCTGTAAGACCTGCATGTAAAGCCACATAAGTTTGTGTTTTTTTAGGTTGATCAAACTAACTAACTAATTTGGACAGATAACTAAGGCCAAACACATATTTATAGCTACCTGGTTATTCGCTTCAACCAACTCCTTTGTAATATTTTTCTCCAAACCTTTAGAACTTAATTTTGAAAGTCGCATTTCCAAGTTCTGCTTCTCCGTTAGTGCAGCCTGTAAAGAAGGCACTAATATAATGAGATGATTGCCACCTCAATACACCAAATTTAAGCACATTTAACAAACACCTGAAGCTCTGCATCTTTTTCATTGCATAGAGATCTAAATTTTTCACAATCATAAGCAGCAGCTGCTAAATTTTGCTTCTCTGATCTCAAGTTATCTTTTAAGCTATCCAATTCTTCTTGCATCTTCGATTCTTCTCTTTGCCTTTCATGTAAATCTTCCAGTAACTGCTTATCAATACAACCACCATGAGCTATCAAAGCAAATGTGTGCCAAAAATACATCACATTGTATCTTTGTATTGTGATTGAAATGATAGATAGATATATGCATAGCGGGTAGAGCAAATGGGTGACCTGTACACTTCAGCACAGACACAACTGATAGAAGGAGTTGGGAATTCCAGTATTTCAACTTATGGTAACAGAAAAGAACAGTCCATGTTTACATATTACCAGCAGCATATACCTTGCATGTTAAACATTTTTGTTCGAACTTCTCATAAAGCATAAAAGTTTCTTCTACAACAACAAATACCACTCACATCATTGACTTTCTTCTGAGATTCTTCAAGGGCGCGAGACAAATCCTGAATGCGTCTTTCATTAATGTCAGTGTTTGCAGTTTTGAGATTATTTGGAACATCT